GTGCCCACCCGAACGGGTCCCTGAACCTCTCCTCATCCCAGGGTGCTGTTCCCACAAATGCTCCTAAAACCATGGGGGTGCCCCATATTCCCCTTTGCACCCAGAAGTGCAATGAACTTATCAAACCACACCTTCCAACCCGGGGAAAGCAAAGTGCTGTCACATCCATCGAAGCTGCCCACAGCCATGGCGCTGTTTGCCAGCACCTGCATTCATCGCGAACCCTCGAAACTACGCTCACATCTGGCCTCTCACTGGGTCCTCATAAAAGCCCCGTGTGACAGAATGACAGGTGTCAGAGGCACCGCTTCACAACGAGGACATGGAAACCGAGGCACGTGCATGGCTGACTCAGCATCACGTCCAGTGGGCACAGGGGTGGGTGATGCCAACACCGCACCCCGGCCCTCTGCCTGCACAGCGGCCTGGGGAGGCAGCCAGGAAAAGGAGGGGGCACAGGCTTCGGAGAACACAGATCCCAGGTGAAACTCCAGCTCTGCTACTTACTCATTTGTGTGTGTGTCTGTGTGTGTGTGTGTGTGTGTGTTTGTGTGTGTGTGTCCCCTTGAGCAAATGTCATCACCTTTCACAAGATCTGTCTCCTGGTATGTAAAGTACAGATGCTCCTTGACTTACGATGGGGTTACATCCCAATAAGCCCCTCGTTAAGTTGAAAATATCATTTAGTCGAAAATGCATTCAATATGCTGAATCTACCGAACATCAGAGCTTCCCTAGCTTAGCCTGCTTACAACGTGCCCAGAACAAAACGTCCAAAAAACACTGGGGACACATCGGTTGTTGACATTCGAGACCCGAGGCGGATGGGGAGCTGTGGCTCGTGGCCGCTGCCCAGCCTCAGCATCCGCCTGCCGCCAGTCCAGGAAAAGAGAAAAACAGAAAATTCGAAGGGCAGCCTCTATGGAACGTGGATTGTTTCACACCATGGCAAAGGCGAAAAATCCTGAGTCAAAACATCCTGAGTCAGGGACGTCTGTATGGCCACACGTCACGGCAACGGGAGGAGGACAAGTGCCGGGCCCAACCCGGCATGAGGTCTTCACTGCGGGAACTTTCTCTGTTCTTTCCCAGAGGTAGCTCGTGCTGCACACCGGCCTCGGAGAATGCAAACTTCCGCCCTTCTTCCCACGCCCCGACGCCCGGGTCTGACGCCAGGTCTGAGGCCTCCACTACTAGTCCGGGACACGTAACTTTCCGCGGTGTTGCGGATTTATTTTTAGTACACCTGGTTAGACCTCGCATTGCCCAACAAGGTGTGCTTGTAAAAACTGGACATCAAAACGGCACGCGTTAAATATTTTTAAAGGGCAGTAGAGGACCTGACATTTGGGAAAATCGGTGATAAATGCATAATTTTATAAACGAAAGAATTCACAGAAAAAAGCAAAGTTTGACTTAGAGCCTATGACCGTTTCGTAAAAGCAAGGTTATTTTGTTTTTATTACAAACACGTATTTCTTTTTAAATTAAGAGGCAAAAGAGCCTAGAGAGAGGGAATTAATCCAATGTCCCTGTCCTCACAGAGCTTCCTCCAGGGACTCATAACACGGAGTGCTGATTGCTGAGCCTGTGGGGGACCCCACAGAAAGCCGGGACTGGCGGGAGGAGGGGTCGCTGACCCCTTGATTTGGAGAAGGAACGAAGCTGCTGGTCTCTAGTCCACACATCCCTGACCACTGCTTCTTGCTTCCCTCCCACGGACTTCCTGTGCCCCAGAAAACTCCCGCCTTAGGGGGCTCGAACATTCTGCTCTGGCTCATGGAAACAGGGAGGAGCCATCTGGGAAGAATAGCAGGTGGGGCGTAGCGGACGTTCTGGAAGAATCCAGGGGGAACCTCAGGTTTCTGGGATGGATGGGTGAACCACACGTGGGCAGTCCAGGAGATTCCTTTCCGTTTGAGAATTGGCCCACAACCCTCTGTGACCACCCTACCCTACAACCCGAGAGGCAGGCCTCACTCAGCAGCACTTCAATCATTAACTTCCAAGAGCAGTCCGGGACATTAAGAACGAGCCACACAAAAAAGTAAAGGTGGACACGTCAAGTTGTCCTCAGTTCAGGGCCTGCTGGGAACACAAGGTCCACCTAATATTTGCTTAGGGTAGAAGGTGAAGTTCACAAAAGGCAACAAAATATTACAATCCAACAAGCAGAAAACATTCCTTACTTGTATTAAGTAAGTTTGTTGTTTTTTTTTTAAAGCATGCCCCATACAGTCTAGACTGTTTCTAGAATCATCAGAGTAACTGTTAACAGCGGTGGCTTCTGGAGAGGGCCAGCTCTGCCCAGTACTCCCACATGCACCGCATTTCCCTCTGTACCCAGTGCTTGTCTTACTTATTTTTAAAACAGAAAGGTCCTCGCTGGACTTGAACCTGGCTCAAGCCACAAAATAGAGGCCTCGTTACAGTATGAGGCAGATTCTCTCTGAAACACACTTTAAACATACTAGCTTGAGCCACAATTTTCTTCTCAAAAGCACCAATTCTTCCGGAATTCCAGTCCGGGCTTCCACCGGCAAGAGCACTCTGGCCTGCCAATAATAACCAGGAGAGTGACTAAACATTTTTTCCAACAAAGGAAAAAATAGTGCTCGCGATCAAGATACAGAACCAGCCGCGGGCCAGAGCGTTTCCGGCTCCCACCTTCCCACCGCCTTTGCAGTTCAGGCTGCGTCAGAACAGCCCGCTTGGAACGCGTCCTCGCAGGCTCCGCCAGCAGCGGCGCCCCGCGCGCTCCGCCCTCCCTCCCCCACCGCGCGCGGCAGTCACGTGACCGCTCAGAAAAGTAGGGGAAAGGTTACCGCGAGCCCCGCCCCCGGCCTGGCGCGCCCGGGCCGCTCAGATCCTGTTCCACCAGCAGTGCCCGGGGAGACCTTCCGGAGCTAGCTGGCGCGCGTCGCCGGCCCTGCCGCCCCGGCGACAGTGTGCGAAACGCAGCGCCTCTTCGTGGGAAGGCCGAGTTCTGCGTGGTCAGCCTTGGGGGCAGTTAAGGGCTTACTGCGCCTGATGACATCACACAGCAGAAACCCAGCACCTCGTCCCCGCGAGCCTGAAGCGCGTCCGGAAGGGGCTCGCTGCAGATGCCCAGGGAAAAATTAATGGTGTTTCTATGAATGGGCACGCGGTGCTGGGATTGCGTAAGCGCGGGCCCTCGCCCCAGGACTCCCTGGAGGGCCCAGTTTGACCGCTCGGTGACCACTGGTCCCGGCCAGGGCCAAGGGCGGCAGCCACGCCAAGTTTCTTCCCGTCGTCTCCGGGTTGGGCCGCTTGTTTTCAGAACAAACTCGAAAGATTATTTTGGTCTGTGCATGATGCCAGTTTCTGCCACTCTGATACAAAGGATGTGCACTCCTAAAGACGGCCCCGTTTTGTCTGATTCCAACAGCTGTTCGGATGGAGATCAGTGTGCAAGGTCAGGTCTAGCCACTGCAGCTTAGGAAGGAAACCGGTTATTTGCATTCGAAAAGAGCCCCCGGGGCGCACAGAAGCAGAACACTCCAAATGCGGCGTTCAGTTCCTATCACACACACGCCCTCGCTGCGCGACTCGTGTTATCAGCATTAATGTCCTCGTATTTACGTCACACTCCCTGCAAATCGCCTTAAATAATTTGGAAAGGGGTTGAGCGATGGATAAATTAAAGACCAGTAAGTTCGGCCATTTTTTTTTTTTCCATTTGATTTGTGGTGTAGAAGGAAACAAACATGCTTGAATATCTGGAATGACCAGAAACAGGACGCTTGTTGCAAGAAAATAGTGTAAAGAAATACAAGTTTCAAAAGCTTAGATTGGTTTTCATTGTGTTCGGTAACTTACAAAGTTACCAGTTTCCTACCAAAACTTCCTTTATTTTAATAATACATGGAGTGGAGCATAGAGGGCCTAAAGCATATTCAGAGTTGAGAATTTTAAATCTGTTCTGTATTCAACCTGGTTAATTACTTGGGATTTTTAACTTTCGGCGTTAAAAAAAAAAAAAATCAGCCCTCATTTTGGTTCCCTTCGGCTCCAATAAAAGCCAGCTACCGTTTTACGTTCTGAAGACGCTGACCCACAGCCTTTTCCAACAAAACGAAAGAAGCTGGCTGTTGTCTCGCGGAGGGAGCTGGGGTTAGGGAATGGCCGCATCAGGGTCGCAGGCCAGGTTCGTCCGGGCCTGGTCACGTGACGCCCCCCCTACTGGCGCTGCAGCTCCGGGGTCCCAAACGACCTTGGGCAGGTTCTTCTCGCCCACCCTCCCTGGACCCCGAGAGGCAAGGGAGAGGGTGCGGGCACTCGCAAGCTGGGGCCCCGGCCCAGCGCCCTTATCCCGCGCCAAGGGCGTGTCCCGACTGGTGCACTGCGGACGGGGTCAGCCGCGCGAGGTCCGAGCGCCCCTTGGCTCCTTCGGGGGACTATCGTATCCGCAGACCTAAGCCATTCCGGGCAGGGCAGTTGCATCATAGGGAAGAATGCCGGTGGCCCAAGTGGCCCCAGGCCGGAGGCACCCGCGAAGCCCAGGGAACCAAGCATCCTCCGCCTCCTGCACTGTACCTGCCTGCGGGTCGACCGACCCTCGGGCTGACCCCAGACCCAATCCAGTCCTGGGGAGGCGGGTGAGATGGGGCGGGGAAGGGACCCGCAGCCTGACAGACCCCGGGCCGGAGGCATCTTGCCAAGTCTGGAGGGTAGGGCATCCCTCCCGCTGGCGCACGGGACCTGCCCACGAGCAGACCGACCCCATTGAGGATCCCCGGACCCAAGCCACTGTGGGGGTGGGGGGTCCCCACTCTGCTCCGGCTTCTCTATTGATCCGCCGTCCAAGGGGGATGCTGGGGTTCTCCTCTGCGCCCACCTCCGGCGGCGGCCCCCCACCCTCCGCCTGGGTCTGGGTGCCCCGCAGGCCCCCGCGCGCTCCTGGCCCTCGAGTCCGGCACAGCCCGCAGGGCGGCGCCCATCAGCCTTCCCGGAGGCTCTCGGCCTGCGCCCGGCCTTACCAAGTCCGGGAGCGGATGCGCGGCGGCGGCAGTGGAGGCGGCGGAGTGAGCGAGCTGCGATCCAGCACCGGGGGCTGGAGGGCCGCGGGCGAGGCCTGCTGCACCGACGCCGGCTGC